TTAGTACAAAGATGTATGCTTAAACTAGAAGAATTGAGGGCTTTTTGAGGCTGATATACTGACAAAATGTCAGCTTTGTAATTAAGTGCACAGCCATTTAATGATTTATTCAATATTAACTGCGAGATTAATTTATTGCTTTTAATGGGACAAAGCAGATCCCTAACCCAAACTTTTAGGGTTAGGGATCTGCCTGATCATGAAGCTCCTTCTCCTAACTGAGTTCAGCCAATCTCCGAAGGAAGCTCATTTAAATAAATTCCATTTAGTAGTAATATTTATAATAATCCTTTGGGGACTCAGGATTAGATTATCATGCAAGAACAATACTATGAATTCCTAAAACACTGTTTTCAGAATAATGTTTTTTCAGCTGATAATGTTTATTTAGAAAAAAAATAAATTATAAAACTTTTGTTCATACGCACATGCATCCTAAACCAATGTCGACTTACACTAAAAATTTAAGTGATCTCAAGTGAAAGTGAAAGCGGACAGCTCTTCACTATTATCTTTAGTCAGTGAGAGGAAACCACTCTACCAAGAGGAAGCTATGTTAAGTTAACAGATGATATGCAAACTATTTTTTTGGAAATAATCCAGACTAGAAATTAGACAGGGGAGTTTTTTTATATATATATATATATATATATATATATATATATATATATATATATATATATATGCATATGTATATATGTATATGTCATGATGGGTTCTTAGAGTTAAGCCCAAAATGCAGAACACACATGGACACGGGGTAAAAGTTAAACAGAGTTTATTGTTGCACAAACACAAGGATTATGAATGAGTTCTGAAACAGGGTTGGGCTGGTTAACTGAAGTCTTGACTGGGACTGGAGACTGTTGGTTAGCAGAGTTCATGTGAAGCTAAGCATCTAGCTTCAGGCTTAGCATAGCAGACCTTGATCTGAGCTTCCAGCTCACTGCAGAGAACAACAGGGAATATCCACCTAGCATTCTTTGAGGTTGAGCTTCCAGCTCTTAGCAAAGAACAACAGGGAAT